AAATAAATAAATAAAAATCTTAAAAAAAAAATAAAATAAAATAAATAAATTTAAAAAAATAAAAAAAAAAATTTAATGGCCTTCAAGAGTCAAAATAGTATGTGTAAGCCTGACCAGTCCAGGCTGTTGTCTTGCCTTTAACCAAGGCCCACACTCAGGTGCGGGGTGGGGGACACGACAGGATAGACAAGACAAGCTGCTACTGACAGGAAAAATTTTATCATTGTTTTCAGTAATCTACATAATTCACAAAGCCCTTCTTCAAGCTGTTATTACTCCCATCTATCTAATCCATCCTGTCTACATGAAAACATACCTAAAATAGAATTTCCATAAAAGGCTGCATTTTGAAGAGTTAATTTAATTTAGCATACACTATGAAATACAAGTTTTTTTAAATAACTCTAAGAAAAACCAGCAGAATTTCATCAAAAGCCACTTAAAATATTCAACTTGTGGAGTAAATTTGACTTTCCTATATCGGTCAAATATTTACTTTTCTTGAGGTAACCATTCACAAATACAGTCTTTTTTTTTTTTTTTTAAAGTTCTGCTAACAAAAATTTGTGGGTTTTTCTTTTTTTTGTATGTAATCTGGCTAAAATTCAACTTAAGTGCGTCATTGGCACAAACATCTTAACCATTACTATTGAAAAAGGACTGGCTCTGCCAGACCACACCCTCTGCACACCTCCAAAATCTGGTCCATTCCTACTTTTTTTTTTTTTTTAAGTAGGCTCTGCGCCCAGCGCAGAGCACAAGGGGGCTTGAACTCACGACCCTGAGATCAAGATCTGCCTAACTGACCGAGCCATGCAGACACCCCAATTCCTCTCTATTTTAAAATATATGAGATTCAGGGGTGCCTGGGTGGCTCAGTTGGTTAAGCAGCTGCCTTCAGCTGGGGTCATGATCTCAGGGTCCCAGGATGGAGCACCGCATCAGGCTCCCTGCTCAGCAGAGAGTCTGCTTCTCCCTCTGACCCCCTCCCCACCTCACTCAAATAAATAAATAAAATCTTTTTTTTAAAGTATATTTATCTTGATGAGCGCTAATATATGCAACTGTTGAATCACCACATTGTACACCTGAAATTAACATAACACTTTTAACTACACTGGAATTAACATTTTTTAAAATGCTTCATTAAAAAAAAAAAAACAACGGGCGACTGGGTGGCTGAGTCATTAAGCGTCTGCCTTAGGCTCACGTCACGATCTCAGGGTCCTGGGATCAAGCCCTGTGTGGGGCTCCTTGCTCAGCAGGGAGCCTGCTTCTCCCTCTCCTCCGTGCTTGTACTCTCATATCTCTCCTC